CGGGAGACGGGAGAGGCCTGGCTGCGGCCCCCCCACCCCAAAGTAGCCGCCGCTGGGCCTCGGGCTCGAGTGGGAAGGGTGTCTCCGGGCCGCGGCGCGGTTTTGGGTGGGGACGGTGGAAGACGGAGATCACCCCGGCAGCTCCCGCCGACCATCTCGGGACGGGGCGCTGGGGTGGGACACGTGGGTCTGGGTGGGTGCGGTGGGGCAGGACCGACCCCCGTCGGAGAACAGCGTGGGTCCCCACCGTGCCCCGGCTGGAGCAGCTAACCGGGCAAGGGAAACCCTGCCCCATCCTCTGCCTGTTCCCTGCCCGGCCCCGCTCCCTGCCGGATCCTGCCCGCACCCCTGCAAGCTCCCCGGCCCTTTGAATCTGCCGGCAGGATCTCTGTATGCTTCTGCCGTGGCTTCATCGCTGGCTGTTAGACCCATATTTGGTAGCAATAATTGTTTACTCCCTTCTCTCTCTCCGAGCCTCGCTGCTGAGAAGGGGAGGGGACATATTTTTGGGATCTTTAGCTTTGCCAGAGCCTGTGGGTTGCCCGGTGAAGGGTCCGAACCGCCCCCTTGCAGACCATGGGGTGAAACCCCCCAAGTGCTAAATGAGCAGGTGATGGTGCGCGGTGAGCACCGGCCAAGCACGCAGCTTGCTCACCAAATGGCATCGGCAGCAGTTTGGTGCATCCCAAAGTGGCACGTCCCAGCACATTTGGGGAAGGGGAGTGAGAAGGCTGAGGAAGAGGGAACACGTGAGGTGTCCTCCTTTCTGGAGCTGAGCTTTGCTGACTGCTGGGTGGAGAAATACCCCCCAAAACGCAGCCACGCTCTCCTCTCACTTTCTCCTTTCTGCCTGGCCGGTGGCACGGCGGCGGGTGAGTCACTTGCCCTGGCAAGCATGGGTGCCCGAATCAGGGCACCTGGTGGTCTCCGGAGGCTGTGAGAGCGCCCACTGCATCCCGAGTGCTGCTTTTGGGGTGCTGTGCTGGAGGGCTGGCTCACTAAGGACACAGGAGAGGTCGCGGATGGAGTCCTGCCCTTGCTCGCCCCCATGTCTGCCTTGGCGGTGGGCAGCCCGGGGGTGCCACTGTTTGTGCCCCCTCCCTTTGGAGGGCAGGGGATTCCTGGCAGGAGCAGACAGGCTTGGGGATGCGTGGGAAATGCCGGCAGTTAATGGCCGGAGCTGCTTCACCTCAGCGCTGGTGAGCAGGCAGGCTGCAGCTGTGATCCTCCAGCCCCACTGCCCGTCCACCTCAGCGCTGGTGAGCAGGCAGGCTGCGGCTGTGATCCTCCAGCCCCACTGCCCGTTCCCTGCCCGTTTCCCACGCCAAGCAGGGCTGCCCTCCCTGCGGGGGCGAGAGGATGCTCCTGCCCCAGCCATGGGTAACAGCCGAGTGGTCATGGGGATGCCATAGGGCTGGGGCTGGCCTCGCCAGCCACTCACACTCCCTGGGAGCAAGCTCGGCCTCGGCTGGAAGAAACCATCTTCCCGTACAACGTGGACGCGTGGCTGGGAAAGAGGAACCGGGCTGAACAGGCTCGGCAGCGTGCAGCACCGTCGCCAGCTGGGGCCGCCGGCTCAGCCTTCCCATCGGCGCGGGGCTGAGCCACCCGTGCCCCCGGTGCCTTCTGTGGCTGTGTATACTGGTCCCATACTGGAGAACCCAGCCAGAGCCTGGTCCAGCTTCTTACCGCGTTAATTTTTAACCTGGTTCATCGTGCTGTTCTGCAGACACCCATGTGCTGGCAAAGCCACTGCTGGCAGGCATCACGGTGGCCCGGTACTTGCCTGGCTGTGCTGGTGGCCGCGCTGGCCGGGCCGGCAGCCCCGTGCCTGCAGAAAGCCCCGGCAGTGGGGTGGTTTGCAGCTGATAAAGCTTCCTGCAGCCAGCTCCCGGTCCGGGGGTGGTCTGGAGTGGGGCCTTTGCCAAGTGAAATTTGGCATTGCCGTAAAAAAAAAAAAAAACCAACAAAAAAAACCAACAACAAACCCAAACCTCATCCGGAGTGTCCCTTAGAAAGAGCATGTTAAAAATGGCAAAATTGTTGCATTTGACGATTCGCAGCTTGTTCTGGAAACTTGCCGTGAGCGTGCCAGCAGGCTGCTATCGAATTTTTGGTTGATTTTTTTGTTTGTTTTAAAGATACAAAACCTCCTCTGTAACCGTTCTCGCAGCACTAAACTCAGCCGACACAAATATAGCAGTTATGTCACGTGACGGAAAACTCGCTCTCAGTGGTCCCGGCAATGACGCGGTGGTTCCTCGGGCCGGCGCGGCGCTGCCTGCCCGTGGCCATCCCTGCCTGCGCTGCCCCTGCCTTTAAGCAGAGCCCGGAGACCTCCGCCACCGCGATAGTTTTGCACGCCTAGTGCAGGGTGAGATGGAAGCAGCCGGGACGGCTCCAGGGGGAGGTGGGACGCCATCGAGACCACCCCCACCCCCTCATTTCAGGAGCGTACTCACGGCTCAAAGGGTTGCGCGCAGCTTGCTATAAAATGCAGAAGTGTGTTAATCTGGCTGCCGGCTGGCCAGCTCGCTGCTCCAGGGCCTTATCTGCCTTTGCATACCGACAACCGATTGAGAACGGGTTTGCTTGCTCTGGAGGCGAGCCAGCACAGAAATTTGGTGTGTGTTCATCACGACTTGGTTTGTTTGGGGTTTTTTTTTTTTTCTTTCCAGAGGGACAGTTTGAATTTCGCTGTCCTTTTCCTTTATTTTTCTGGTTTGCAGCGCTGGGCTCCCACACTCTCTCATCCCTTATGTCTAGTCCGGCTTTTCCTATCCCATGTGGTACCTGGAGGGGAGAGGTCCATGGGAGCCGAACCCTGTGTTGGTGCCCTGGCAGGAAGCAGCAGATTTGCAAACCCCATGTGATTAATTGCCACGTTTGCTGACAAATCCCTCCAGGGATTTGTCATCTCCTTGAGGAGGTGTACTTCTTATGCAGCAGAGAGCATTTCTGCTTTAGACGTTGATGTCAGCAAAGTTCAGCTGCTGGAGCCTGAACTGTTTCCGTAGACTATGAGAGTTAAAATGAACCATCT